AGGTATCAAGGTTACTTCATTAGGCTCAGATCGGGTGATGTCATCGACGATTTCATCCAATGTGATCAAACTTCTAACCATTTTGGATATATAAGATTAGATTTTGCCAATCTGCGAATCTTTACTCTCTCTCCTCTGCATTTTCGTCTCCTTTTTATTGCTTTGTTTTGCTCTCGACTTTAGATCGATTATCCTGAAAGCTTTTCATTATTTTGGCAATTCTTTCTATCTATTATTATTATTACTCATTGTTTTTTTAGTGACGATCATAGTACTCTTTCAGTAGTGCAACATTAAACGGTGTATCTAGGACCCTTCCTTCTATGGTTCTCAACTTATACATATCCTGTTTTAGTATCTGATGGATATAAAACGGACCATCCCATTTTGGTTCCAACTTCACGCTTCTATTATACTTTTTCAATGCTCGGTACAACAAGACTTTATCACCAATGGACAGGTTAGGTGGGAAACAGGCCTTTCGATCATGTCATTTTTTTTGTTTCTGTTGTGCATGTTGGATCCTTACCACAGCCTCATGGCGTGTTATCGGTAAATCTTCTAACAATTGAAACATCCTTTGTATTATTGTTCCTTCCAATAGATCATCCAAATCGATTGGCTGTCGGGCTTCCCTTTCATACATCAAATAGAACAGGGTATTTTTGGTAGTTGCATGTCTAGAGGTACGGTATGCAAACAATACCGCGGGTATAATCAGGTTCCAGTCACTAACGTCATCTACTGACCTTGCAATAGATTCACACAGGGTCTTATTATACCTTTCAACCAACCCGTTTGTCTGGGGGTGATATGGTGTCGCTAATAGACGCTTTATTCAGAACTTTTCTAGCAACTTATCAACCAGTTTATTCCTAAAGTGAGTGCCACGGTCGGATAGTAATTTCATGGGGCATCCATGCCTACATATGATATCTTCGAATATGAAATCTGCCACACTTTGAGCATCAGCGGTTGAAATTACCTTCGCTTCTGGCCACTTGGTCATATAATCGGTCGCTACGACAATGTAACGTGAATTTCGAGGCGTAATCGGGAGTGGACCAATAATATCTATCCCCACTTTATAGAAAGGCGCTATTACCGGTATTGGTTGTAAGGGGCCTTCATATTTATTCTTTCACCTCTTTTGACATCTTTCGCATAATTGTACGTATCTCCTTACATACTCGAACGCTTGTGGCCAGTAATATGTCTTGTGGATTTTTTCAAACATTGTTTTTGCTCCGAAGTGTCCTCTGAGTAGGTGGTCATGTGTTAATAGGAGAATAGGGTCGATCTCGCATCTCCGGACTACTTTCAAAGGTTGGTCTTGATTCTTCTTATTCATCCTATATAATAAACCATTCTTTAGTAAAAATGATCTGCTATGATTAATCACTTGTTTCCTCTGTTTTTTGTCTAAGTTGTTGTCTATGTATCCTTCTTGCAAGTATCTCTTTAACCGATTATAGTCTCCTTCTTCCATCTTGAACTTCTTTTGCCAGGACACCGACCACCTGGACTGAATTGTATTTATCGTTGGATTTGGTGCTTTGCGGTATTGTATTTTTATTTTATTTTTTATTTTATTTTTTTATATGTTTGCCTAATTTTTGCTTTCTAGTTCTATCGATTCCAAGTTAATCGGCTTTCGGTCACTTTTTTGGTTGGCAGCTCTTTCAGCCTCGATTGCTTGGATATTCAGCAGTTCCATATATCCTAGGTCAATTCCTATGTCACATAAGTATCTTCTTCTAATTAACTCTTGTTTGGCCCCAGCAGTTATCCAATCCCTCAACTTTAACAACTATTTGGGTTTCAACGCTACTAGGTTAAACCCAT